TTGAACTCATGGTTGCCTAATTGAGCCCACGATCGATATGAGAGGCAAACATCAGGTGAGATCCCCTGCTCGAATACTTTCTCATATAACTGAGACTGGGAATATCTACTAGATCTTCTTCATCGCACGAATCGGTCGGACGTACCGCCCGGTGGCAAATTTCCACCACCAATCCCTGTCACCGAGCGAAGCAATCGTTCTGGCCCATCGCATACTCGAAATCGGACTCGAGCCGAATTCGGACCTCGTCCAAAGGGAACTCGCCTGTCTCAGGCGGCCGGATTACATTTATCGGGATGACGGTGCTTACCCAGCTCCATACCTGACGTCGGTTCTCGAACGGGTGGTTTGTGACGGATGGTCGGGATACCCACAACCAGCAGATGGAGATCCGAGTGAGCGCAGTAAGTGGACGAAATAGAAAGCAGAAGGGAAGACGTTGATTCATTCGAGTGCGTGTAGTTGACAATGTCATGAACCAAATTATCTTCGACATCACGAGCCCTGCCACACCAGAACTATGCTTCATCAACCGTTACGACGGTCATTTTCACGTCCTTTATCCCCTCACCGCAAGACAGTACGCCTCAATTGGGACCCAGGACCGTCGAGGCGGGAACCTATGGAGTGAAGACGGTTACCAGCCAGAACACCTAAACCTGGCCATTTGCACCGCAATCACCAAGTTAAACGATGTCCCACTATTGCAACCGGAGATTCTTGCAGAGACTTGGGGGACACAGTCCCTCGCTCCGCGTCACGGTTGGTTGCCGTTCTGGAACCCGGCCAACCTGGAACGGCCTCCCGAATCCATTCAAAACACGAAACTTACGGAGGATGGGATAATACCCCTGTCTCTGCTCGCATTCCGTGTGGCACTCAATACTGCTATTGACTCTGGTGTTCGAGACGATGCGCAGCTCGTAGCTCGCGAACTTATCAACACAACGATGGCAGAGGAAATACTCGATATGATCAAGTCGCGACCTCTTCCAGATACCTGCGCACCAATTATAGCGAGTGCGTTCACGAAACGCCAGGAGAGCGTGGAGGGGCAGTGTCCGATGTTGGAGTTAGACCTTCGGGAATATAACCTATCCTCGAATCAGGTCGCCGACGTGTTGGAGCAAATCCCAGAACAACTCGTCGATGCGTTGGACTTGTCAAGTCGACCTGATATTACTGGTGCGACCCTGCGACGCACATTACAGTCTCGCTGGAGACCGTTGAAGAGGCTGATCTTGCTGAACAACAGTGGGGTGCTGAAAAGCGAGATGGATACCCTGGAGGAGGGTGGGTTCTTTATTGGCGTAAATGTCGTGTATTCACAGTGGGAAAGGGGTGATTGGTTCACAGGGTCAATGTGATGTCGTTCCGCTTCGATGTTGTTACATTTGGGTTGGACAGTCGGAGGATAACGAAGCCGAACCCCATTCGGTGGCAGTGTAGGGGAAATAGTGGTTTATTTGGCATCGACTCCCGGTCATAGGAACGTGGTAGCCAACTGAGGCATCGGTCGAGGTGCT